GGCGCTTGCCGCATTGATACTCCCCTTATCGCTTACCTTCTGACTCTGACCACCAGTCGTCTTCCGCCCCCGGTTGACATCCAAATGTGGGAGCAGGAGCACGGGAAGGAGCTTGCTCACCGGCAACTTCATTCGAGGCGCTATTCCCCTCGGTTCCGGAATGAATCGACCGCATCGGAAATTGGGGATGCTCATCTTGTGGGAGACACGCAGCTCACAAACACAAGGGTCATCACAAGGGCGAGCAGTAGTGCCGAACGTCTAGCACTGAATACTATTCTGAAGGATGTCATTCAGGTGCAACTAGCAAAAGCTCACGAAGAGATCCGATTTTCATTCCCTCGGACATCTGTCGAATTCTCAAACATGAGAGAACATGATTTTCTGTCACTCTCGCATCCATCCGAATCGAGAGAGCCGATCCCGTTATCCCAATGTAAGGAAAGTAGGATCAGCAAGAAGCCCGTGTTGATTAGCCTTGAGCTCAACCCTTTCGGCCTTAGCTGTAAGCCGTGAGCCCAGGTTACTAATTCTTGGATTCCTCGCCATGGAAATGAGCTTGATCGCTCATCAAAGAATCTGGGCGATGATTCGCTTCGAACAAAATCGGATATTCTGAGAAAACCTACCGATTTCGACGGAGCTCGACGAGCACTGGCCGTCACCCACAGCGCGAGAGGAGAAATTCTCAACTCCCACAGTAAAATTACAATGATGATTGATGATGTGATCACCATGAGGATGATCTTCGCTGTTCCAGCGCATAGCGGTCGCGAGTTTCTGCAGATCGCAGGGGATTCAAGCACATCTATAATTATTCAAAACCTGAGCCTGGTGAATCTTGCTTCCTCGGAGAGAGACTATCCGAAGTCAGATTCCCGAGTTCACCGGAATGTTTGTACCTATCGTCGAATTTTAGTTTTCTGAAACGTAAAAAAACCATCATCGCCGATTTATGCGCACGAGCTCTGGTTTTCTTTCGATTGTATGATCATCTTCCAAGCAAATATTCTCGGACTCCTTAAAATATTTGTGTTCTCGGTACTCGAAAACCGATGAAATGAGGAATCGACTTTCCGGTTTGCCTTTCTCGGTTTTATCCCAGAATCATTTTCTGGCACCCGGTTCGACTCAGGCCCAGTCAAGTTTTTCTTCGGGTCCGAGGGATGTCAGAAACCGCCGATAGAAACCTGGTGAACTGGTGCCCCCCATGGTAGGAAAGATGTTGCAGGAATCGAGAAATTTTCGGTTTCAGACGGAAGCCTTTCATATATCGGGGCACAACGACCATTGACATCATACAGTTAATTTCCGTGTTTGAGTCGCTGAGTTATGGTACACGGCCTCTTTAAAGAGGGACTGAAAGTTCGAATTCTCCCGCGGGGTGACAAACGTCCGGTGTACAGTTTTCCGGAATTCTTATACAATTCATGTTGGAATTCTTATATATTCATGTTGTACTCTGACAAGCTCCCATCCGGAATGCTCCGTCGTTCCTTACGGAGAACTTCACATTATAGACTCAATGAATCCTCCGCAGCTACGCAGCCGACAGGCTCAGTGAGGCTAGCGACAGAAATCCTCGAGGTTCGGGAATCGTTCAGTACAAGCGGAAAACAAAAATCTCCGGGATTCATGAATGAGCTGAAATCTTTGACAGAGCTGAGGAGGATCATGATGTCCGCCTTAACTTGACTGTATTTTTCGAAAAGTATATTCTTGAAAATATATTCCGCGTTCACTTCAGTGACACGAGCATACCCAGAGTCCCAGAGTCGGAAGCTTGGCATGCGACGAACAACATTGTCGCCGGCTATCAAAACCGCTCGGTCGCATTCTGTCAACTGTATCCCAACAGTTTCTCCTTGGATCGCCGCAAAGCTTACCTTCCATCCTCGCTGCATTCAGACAAGAGCCCCCGGAGATCTGGAGAACCTTCATGAGGCGAAGGGAATTCCTGAGGAGATAGGTCATCCAGCGTGGTCTTCCAGATGAGAATCTCACTCATGAGAAGAGCACTCGGATTCATTGATGAGATTATGAGAAGGATGGTGAAGTACAGTCCGGAACCGAGTACTCCCTCGCATGACCACCGATGTTGGCAGGAAATCGCCTGATTTTCACCGGCCTCTGACCTCTGGGACCCCCGAGAGCGGCAGCCGGGACTTCCTAGTCCTAGGCGTTCCAGGAGCCCCTTTCGAGAACCCCTGCCCTCAATATTGTTCAAGTGAGGGTTCCGTGAAAGGGCTCGCTGACGAGGCCTCTCTCACCGCAGAGTCAATACTCTTACTGGCAGTCTTTTAGCTCGTCGATTCCAGCACCATGGGAGCAGTAGGAATTGAGCAAGGGGACCTCCGAAGCCATGTCTTGGCTGACGGCCGGGGATACTTTCGACATCGATTTGTCGTGTTTCTCATCAATCATCACAGATGAATTACCAACCTTGGAGGCCAGTCCAGTTGTGCCCCGCCAAAGGAAGGCGCAAACGAATTGAGCAAGAGGCTCTGCAATCTCTGCTGAGTATTTCCCGTCGGAGAACTAAGACACGATACACCAATTATAATGAAGATATGACGATCCTTCGCGTCCGTGGCTTCGTCGCCAACCGAGGCTATCGAGGCTGAGTCTTGTTAGAGCTATATCAACTGCCTCGTATTAGCATTCGTATACCTACCTTTGGGAAGTACAGTCGCAGCACTTGTTGCGAAAGAGGGATGACGGCGATGTTCTTGAAACTGGCTTGCAGGAACGCTTTGGAAGCGTAGCGATCGAGGACTTGTAGAATGACCTATATCCGCTACGCGGAAACCGTTAGAGCCATCAGCTCGACTCTTCGATGATACTGCTGCTGACTGTGATACTCAAAAAGAAAGACTCACGGGTCAAATTCAAGCTTGGAAAACCCAGTCCAGACTTAGTGATGTCTCCCTGATGGAATTCGAATAGCGGAAGTGGATCGACCGAAATCGAAGCAAGTCATTGACTTTCCGTGCCGTGAGATCGATCCTCAGAGACAGGTATCGCAGATGGTTCATCATGACTCATGCTCGACAACGAAACCCAGATAAGCGCCGCAGGATAGGATGCGGTACCCAACCTGCGAAACAATCTAGTGGCGAAAAGAGGGCAGCAGTGAGGATCCCGATCCCTCGGTCTGCACGATCCAAGTCGGTCATCGCTGGAAATGGAACTTCAAGAGAGACTACGATGAGGGCCGGTTTTTACCCCCTCGAATAAAGAGGAATTCGAGAATGATTGGACCCTCCGGAGTGCAAAACTGATTTTATGGCTTTGATAGGTTTCTTCTGATTGCTTACCATGCACTCAGTTCAATAATCTACATATGCCTCAATTTTCGTAGTCAACACTGCATCGCTCTCAAGACACCAACGCATATCCTCCCGGTTCCTTGAGTATCACAGCGCCAGCGAATCGCCGCGTCGATTCGACTCCCAGCGCTCGCAGAGGGGAGCGCGCGTCCGAGAATATCACCCCTTTGCTGTATGTACCGTGTTCACCGTGTTCGGCCCATCGCGATCCGTTCCTCTATCGGTTGTGTGATTTTACCGTCAATGACTGGGCTGCGAAGGTGAAGCGACCCCCTCTCGTATGCTTAACAAATGCCTTGTGACATTATTGAATGATCGTTCTCTGCCACTCAGATCCTCCAATATTCATTCCATCGCGCGGTCAATAATCAGGGCTCGATGAGATCGGACGATCGATTCCAGCGTTTTGTCAACGAGCGGTACTCAAGGTTCAGTACCATGCTCTTTGCCGCGTTTTCTTCCGGATGCTTGTATGGGTCGAGGTTGGACGAGTTCAAGGATGCTTTCTTCATGAAATTCACAGGATAATTGCGAATCCTCGCCGCACGCGCCTCGGTCTTAACTGAGATTCTCTTTGCTCCTGGATCGCCGCCGCGATCGGTCGGAATATCTCCACCCTCGTGATTAGTGCCGGTAACGTGCTAAAATTAGGATTCTCCTCCGCGGACGGAGTCGCTCGCACTCGGCGGCAGGATCACAGTACCCACAGTGGGATCCACTCAATAGAAACATGTCGGAACTGCGCCATCCGGATCCGAATGAGCGAACGACCCGTCGGAGCGAGTATACCCCCTAGGCATCATTGGCCTAGAAACTTCTGCTCGATCCGGGGTTATACGATCGACGAATAATTGTAGGAAAAAAATATTACGGATGTCTGTGAAGAGGTCAACTTGACGGTAGATGACCAAGGGGAACGGGAGATCGAAAAGGCCCCTCCTCATACGCCAATCGCCAATGCAACTCACTTAGTAGCAACGCTCCCGACTCGCTTCGGTGACGAATCGCGCTACTGACTGACTGATGAGAAGAGACTCGTCCCTTAAGCTGCATCCTAGATCTAGGACCTAGATGAGAGCACGTGAAGATCTCCTGAGCTCGATCGCGGGGCGCTCTCACGTTCCCTATGAGAGCCCTACGTTGATCGAGCCGTTCACCGCGACAATTAGTCGAATTCTGCGGGGAAACTATCGATCAATCCCCAGGATGATCCAATTGACCTAACAGACGCTTCGATCTAGCGAAACGGCGGCAATGGCCATCTTGAGGGAATCCGCTCTTTGATCACTTCAGGCGGATGATCGTACCGATGTTCTCATTGAGCGGATTCCACCGTCCTTCCGAGCACGGATTGCATCGAACAACTCCCCTCTGAGACAGCTTGCCTTCCATTTCTCCATAATTTCGAATCTGGGGTTCAAGCCGAGGACCTCATGGCGACTATTTCCGCGAAGGATCGTCCCCATATTTCCTCATTAGACTGACCTACGAAAGCGTAATCATTCGAAAGATTCCCGTGGGCAAAAAGGTGAATCTCGCTAGAATGATACGGGCTGGCTCTCGCTGTAAGTCAGGATGCATGATAGTTTCTCGAGTCTCGGGTCACCGATAACAAAGCCTGGAGCCTTCTTCCTTCATTCGTTTAGAATGAACTCAATTCACGAAATCGACTCAAGTCTTATGGAGATCACCTTTGAGGATCCTGTAGAAGGTTCGTTTGAATTGTTGATTGGCAAGGGCGTAACAGAATGGATTTATGGGGCTATTGGCATAACAGAGGAAATAAGTGAAGTAGAAGAGATGATGGTTCACGCATCCGCCTTTTTTCCGGCAGAATCCCTCTACTAGCGCGCACACATGGTATGGAGTCCAGCAGATGACGAACGCGCCCAAGATGAACGATATGGTCCGCAGCGCTTTGCGAGCTCGATTCTCACTTTTTGATTTCTGGCGCTTGTCTCGACTTCGTCTTCCTCGCAACCTTTCGCTGAACGATGACATAATCTCTCGACGGGATCTGTTTGTCGAAGCTGTCCGCAATAATCCGCAGGAGCCAGCATCGCTGTCCTGTGGATCGAAGACGGAAGTTTAGATATGGGCGGAGCCTCGAATGAATATTTCCGTATCTTCCAGTTCAGGTACTCCCGAAGCCTCGTCGCCGAGTTTTAACGGAGCGCTTACCTTAGCGGACTTCGTGCTGTCTGTCTTGACCAGGGGAATTTTCGACAAGATCGCTTCCGGTACCGTGAGGTGCATAACGGTCGTTGTGCCTTGAGCACCCGAGCTATTAGGGTCAACCAAAATCGGAACGTCTGCGTCCCTGACCGGACGCGAATCCCGAGATCTGGCATCGACGATATTCTTAGTTTCTGATTCGCTCCACACCACACCAGCTTCCGAGAAGTATTGCGTTGTATCGATTGACTGGGGTTCGTCAACCTTCTGAACAACCTTCAGCAGTGCATCCGCTCCTGGGAAATTAGTCCACGGCGCTGAACTGTCAGAATCATCCCGGTGCGGTCGCGTTGACGACACCGCCTGATCCCTATTGTTTCTTTGCATGGTCCTGCATTGGCTGCTGGCCGAATTTCGAGCCGAGGCAGTGATGTCAACATCGCGCGCATAACCTGCGTCTCTTTGATCCGAAGCAAGGTCGCGGATGGCCAGAGAAGCTCGTAGCTCTCTTTTAACGTCAAGGGAAGAGGGTGGGTTTGGCTTATCTGTTGATGGCGAAGTCGACGGTATACACGCATTCTTTGCTCCGAGACCGAAGCCGAATCCTGGAAGACCGCTTCCGATCGACGCGATGTCCAAAGTATCTTTCGCCGCGAAAGCCGGACGCATCACGTCTGCGAGCGTCAGCCTTCCGCCATTTTTCAAACGTTTTCTCGTGCTGTGCCGAGCGGCTTTTGCTTTTTGTTCATCCTCCTTATAATTGTTCGCTTCCTCCCCAGAATCCTCGTCATTGTCTTCGTCGGATTCGAAACCGGGACTCGAAGATCTATCCTGATCCGACTGGCCTGGCTTCTCCACCTCCCGGGTCTTCTCAGCTTGCATGATTCTAGAGGTCTCCTTCGAATTGCCCGCAAGCGATGTTAGAGGCCCGACGTTCGCTTGGAAAGCATATCCGGTTTTCGTGACGTCTGAGGGTCGCTGCTGGTCAAGTCCTTCCAACGTCTCCTGAACTGTTGCTACGCACGGGCTGGCATCCATCTGACTTCGCCCGAGAGAGACCATGGACTGCATTTTGCGCTGCTTCTCAGCACTTCGCTTCTGCATGTTGCTCGCCGTTCTATATATACCTCCGTAAAGCATGAACAGCACAACAACTGTGCAGTAGAAGTAACCGAAAATCAAGGACGTGTTGAACACGGGGTCTTTCAGAAACTGGACGGCACACTCGCCATCCACGAGGTCTCGGTAGCCGATGAAATGTTCCCAGCCGAATATGGATATGAAGAACACAAAAAACGGGAGAACCCACGTAATGGCCACCAGCCAGATCACTTTGCTGCGAGTTCTCCAACTGCGATATTTTGCCGCGATTTTCACTGAGCAGTACCGATCAATCGTGATCAGAAGCACTGTATATATTGAGACTAGGCACACTGTATGATCTGTAGCAAGCCACAGATCGCAGAATATCGGTCCGAAGTCCCAACGGCCATTGAGAACATAGAGAGCAAACAATGGCATCGATACGATTCCTATCAAGAGGTCGGACGCGGCCAGCGAGGCGATGAAGTAATTACTCGGCTGTCTTATGGTTCGCTCGACGAAGAAGGCGGTCAGTACAAGGATGTTGCCACCCACGGTTACGAGAATACACACACCAATCAGTACTGCGATCGCTATAGTTTGCCACATCACGAAGGGGAGCTGCCACGGTGCCACAGAATGTCGGGTCTCGTCGCTGATCTGGTCCAAAGTGATCAATGATGATTTCATGCTGTCGAGGCTCGATCTGAAGTGATCCTCTGGCGTGGTCTCCAGATACATTTTGATATCCCAAGCTCTCGCTGGGAGCTGGGTGCTCCGCATCTCTCCGTCCCTGTGTTCCCTGGGAAAATTCAATAAAGTGGTGTGATCCGTGATGCTTTCATCGGAGCGGTGGAGTTCGGACTATGGATGAGAAAATCGGTGAGGGAGACCATAAATCGGTACTTCGAAGATGATACAGTCTGTATCCCCAGATAGCTGTCGGTGTTTCCACTCATCCGAGAAGTCTCGGGTCCGAGACTCAAGATTGCGCTCGGAGGACTCGCAGCGAGCAGGGATGCGGACGAAATATTGCTCGCCTATAGGAGAGCTCCTCACCTCGGGTAAAACTCAATTTGAAATCGACGGGGAAGTCAATCTGCAGAGAGCCTTGTCCGTTCCTCAGGATTCATCAGCCTAGAATGAAATCAACGACAGATCATAACCTCTGCACCTCCAGCGCTCAGACGTACCTCCATAGTTTCACATATCCCTTCCGTGTTTTCCCCGGATGCAAGATTTCCGCTGAGAATCGCCCTCAGTCCGAGGCTCAAACGTGTCTTCAGATTAGTCCGAAGTTTACATGATGATCGGGCTTGAGGCCTATCGCCAACTGCGGTGAACCGTATCAATGAAGAGCTCGGGGTTTCTCCTTCGGATGCTCCGAAGGTATATACAGCGGTAAGGTTATTGCTTCCGTTCATGGGACTGCTCGCGATTCAGGGCTCGAGACATTCATTCGAGAATTACTCTCGGACCCGAAGGATCCCAGGAGCAACGAGTTTCTTGCTATTGGTGGTACCTACCAATACAGAGCAGGAATCCAGGGAAGCCAAGAGAGATCGAGGAGCAAGGCGAGAAGCTCCCCGAGGGGACTCTGCCTTTCGGCTGACTGTGAGTGCAGTCCGATAGTGGCAGGAATCGTCGTCCAATTATGGGTGCTGGTATTGGTTATTATCCTCATATGCACGACTGTTCTGCTTCAGAGGGGAGTAACGGATAATACGAGTCTCCTCCTTCCAGCCATCCAGGACATTATCACTTAGGCCCTAATCCCAGAGAGACGGGTGTCCGCTCAACTCCGACCGAGACAGCAGTTCCTCCTCAACGGGGTAGTTGTCGTTAACTCGAAGGTTATGGGACAAATTGCTCCCGGGGCAATCCCGCAAGGTAGGCGTGTGTCTTCTTTGTCTATTCTCTTTGCTGTAGGGTGGCGGGCTGGATTTTGAGCCCATTGATCTTCTCAAGTTTTTCGATTCTCGAATTCTTCTCTTGACTGAAGAGTTGCGTTCGCCGTTGCTCTCAGTTCAGTGCTCCGAAAATGTGGCGGGATGCCACTCCGGAGTTATGGGAGCGCTCTCCGGCACTTGCCACAGTCGCAACTCGATACTTTCTGGTTTCCGAGAGAAGTTGAAAACCTCCAGAGTGGCATCTGGCCACTGCACCCAAAAGTACACAGAGCGTTTCCTTCTCAACTGCCCGAAAGAACCTCAGCGTTCACAAGCTTTCAACCGATATTCGCGCTCCTCGATTCCGAAAACGAACAGAAAAAGCCCGAAACGAGCGAAAAAATCGCTCGAATCGAGATCCTGATGTCCTGTCCTAGAATTATCGTGCTGCGCCGGTGGATTTTTTTCGATCAAAGGGCCTCACTCTGAGTCGCCCGTCGGGGACGTTCTTCTCATTGGCCACATTTGTCGTCGGATATCGAGGATATCGGGGTCCGTCTACAACGATTGATGTGAGCAGCATAGGTAATGGAGTACGATTTCGGAACCCGCTGCCTGAGCCTTCCTCACAGCAAGGCATCATTCATCTCATCAGTCCCCGACTCACCAGCCGTTGAAAAACGATCCTGAATCAGAAGCTTCTGGTGCCACGTGCACTTAGTGAAGACAGCTTTTCTGAGCTCAGCGCTGAAGGATATGAGACGAATGAGGAATGCGACCCGAAGAGACGCCTAGTAAAATGATCTCGATAAGCATTCTCGAGAAATTCCAAGAAGCTTGCTTCACACGAAGAGGGTCGAAGTGGGTTTCGAGCGCTAGGCTCAGGGAAGAAAATTTCTTCGACCTCATTTCGCCAGCTCGAGGAGTCCGAATCACTTAACGGACTCGCTCATACAATTTTGTCCACCTAAAAATACAATCTCGACCAGTGTGACACCGGCTCGCCTTTGGCATCGTGGAACGTTTTCAAATCTCGAGAGCGAGGACTTGCTTTAGGCCAGTAGTTCCTTGAGTCTCTCACGCCGAGGACCCCCTATGAAGCCCCGTATGTATTCCTAGCATCAGACCCGTGAATCCTATTGGTTTCTCCCTTGGGATCTTATGGAGTCCCGAAAATCGCGATGGATTCCCGGGGGACCACTCTGAGAACCACTGCTCTGAGCGAGAGGTGCTGAAGTAGGACACAACGGATCCGATCCTCTAATAGGAATATCAAAACCTCTACATTGTCAGGGTCGACGATCGTCGGGGGAGATCGCGTCATCGTTCGCAGTGCATGAAAACAGGAACAGTGCATACAGGTGAATCCACAGCGAAGCAAGCGGCCGCGTCAGACTCTTTCTTCGGGACGCCGACGAACAGGCACCAGGACGAGAGGCCGGGAGAGTTTGATCGTCTGTTTTGCCACCACTCCTCTCGTGTAGAATTTTTCCATTCATTATTGGGAGACCGATGAGAAAAACGGCAACGAAATTTCCCATGCTGCGACGAGGGGTCACTCGCAGGACGTGCGCGAAGACTACGATGTGTCTCGAAATTCCCGAGGATATCGCCGACCCCGTGAAAAGAGTTTTCCCTGAAATCGGGACGCCGGGCGTCCCGATTCTTCGGTCTGAGACGCTATAGCGAAGCGAATCCCAACAGCAGGATCCCCGGCTCCCCGAGGAGACGCCACACTTTTCCGAGGGAGCTGCTCACGAACTGGTATAGGTCAGGCTCCGGACACTTAAGGTTTGTAAATTCTGAGGGAGCACTGAGCTTCTCCTCTTGGGCCATGAATATTCGAATGAATGGATCAGAGTGCACCGGAAATCTTGACTTTTTCTTCAAAAGAGGTGGGACTCGTGAAGAAGAAGGAAGGAGAGATAGGAGCCGCGGGAGCCTCCTTGGCACTGGACACCCTGGGAGCCGCGAGAAAATTCTTGATTCTCCGGGGAGCCGCGAAGCCGAAAATGCCGGGAACCGCTGCTATGGCGTTTCGAGCGTCCCGCTGGCGCCGCCATCGAGCGAAGCTCGAATGGTTCTCGATGCACACTGTCAATATGTATTGGGGGACGTCAGGAGCTAGATGAGGCCAGGGGCGTGCCGAAATTTTTCTTTGAGTAAGGGGAAAGCAAGTCGGATTCCAAAGGCGGGGGCTCCTGGAGTACACCGAGCCGAAGCGGTGAGATCTACGACATGACAGAGAGTCATGATGATTGACGACCAGTGGTGTAGCAAGTAGGGGGTGCGAAACCTGCCTTTGAGGCCGCGCCGTTTGGTGAAGTAGGGGCGCGGTTTCAGAGCTCCTAGAGGGAGCTCTGAAAGACTGAGTCTCCATTTAGCCGGATACCTCGATTCCAGTAGTCCGGTTTAGATTCCTTTTATGGGCTTGCATCCATACTACTCGATGCTCCTTGAGTCGGTAATTTTACTTGGTCCCCTCAACTATGAGGGAGTCATCTTTCAACAAGCGACATGCGTGCAAGTGGAGTTGGGATGTTGGCTTAAATAGAGACTCTTCTGAGGGTCTTCTCGGATATACCGCTGCTGCGGAATCGCATGATGGCTAGCAAGAGTCTCAAGAGTCCCTGTACTCGGCTGTCACCCTTGGAGGTGTACATAATCCCTCAGGTCTCCATGATCGGAATCCATTGCAGTTTCAGCATATCAGAGTGTCGCATTAGACGTCGGAACAACAGTGCGACTTCAGATCGACGTAATTTCTAATCTTATCGAACCTTTCGGGCTCCGTTGACTCGATCGTTCCTACTTAGGATGGGACCCTACGGGCGAGGGACGCCGAACGCCATGGGAACAGTCAATGACGGCTTCTGGGCGCGATCAAGGTGCACATGGGCTGCTCGCTAATCTGTTCGAAACGCAGTAAAAATAGCACTTGCTATAAATGCTACACGGCTCCCAGCCGCTCAAACGTTTCAGCGGGAGTGAACGCGGCTTCCGGCGGGGATGCGACCCTCGGAAGAGAGGTGAAAATCGGTCATTTCTGATGCTCGGGCTCCCTCAAGTCTGGGTTCTAGGTCTGTCGGAAAATTGTGCTGGTCACTCTCAGAGGATTCTCCATGGGTTGAGGGGCTCGATTGGGCCCTCGCATGGGGCTGGGATCCGACATGGCAACTCGCTTCTATACCATAGCTTAACGGACGCTTCTGGGAGGGGCCTGTAGCTAGAACGACAACCTCCCCCCTCTTCCTCGCGGAGGCCCCTGTAAGATTCGAACGGAATCCAAAAAATCTCCTCAAAGAGCTTCTGTTCGTCTACATTTCTATTGGAGGCATCCGGTCTAGGGGGAGAGCTGGAAATCGTTCTAAACTTTGTTTCAAACAAGATTAGCAGGAGGGGCACAGAGTCGGCCCTTCGCAGCAGCAACCTCTGGGAAATATTTGGATTCGCGTTCCTGAAGAAGAGCTCGTCTCTGTTCGAGCAGGAGGACTCTCGCACCGCGTCTCTCAAACCTCGGATGATGCGACCTCCCAGGAAACGTTGGCGTCGTTCCCCATAGTGCAAGCGTGCTCCTTAGGACAGCCGGGAACGACTCCCTGGATTGGAGCGACTGGCTCGCTCTGTGCTGTGCCGCCGAGCGCTGATTCACTTCAGCAGATAATAGGATTGACGAGTAATTCTATTTTTTGCGGAAATGGGCTTCCTGCCTCGTTGGACGATGCGACGAAA